ATGCATTAGGGTATTTTTAAACCTTCCTCAGAGGCATTGGGTGTTGGTTGCAGCCAAGGCTGGGGATCTTCACTGGGATGTGTCATGGTCCTGTTGGGACTTGGGACTGGGAGGTTCCTGCCTAGAGGGTCTTGTCCCTCTGCTCAGGGTCTAGCCAACCACCATATTTGGGGTCAGGAAGGAACTTTACCCTATGGCCAGATTAGTACAGATGGTGAGGGCTTTGCCTTCCTTTGTGGCAGAGGCATGGACCTTTACCTAGGATCTCTTAACTGTATATTAACAACCTTTTACAGAAGCAGGACGTTGCCTGCCATCGTCTCCCTGCTTTACCTGTGGCAGGTTAGGGTGTTATGTCTTGCATTGCATCAGGGTTGATGGTAGTTTTACTAGGAAGTTAGATTATGGATTTGTACAGGATGGTTGGGATAGGGCTGAACCTGCCTCAGGCAGGGGTTGGACTAGATGACTGTTGGTCCCTTCCAGCCTGACTTCTTTAGGATGCTATGAAGTGGGGTTGGGACGGCTTAGCTACTCACCCGGATGCTGGCACCAGGCTCGCCCACATCTCCCTGCAAACAGAAACTTTGGCATTAGGATCCCCCACCCCTGGCAGAGATAACGCTCCAAGGCCTGGAGCTGAGGGTAGGCCCCAGGATTGGTCACACCAGCTGTGGGCAGCTCAGGGGGACATCAGCAGAGATGGGCCTGCCAACATCAGCTGCAGCAGCATGCAGCCTATGGCCTACTCCTGGACCTCTCGGGGCTCCAGGATGATGAGAGGTACGTGCCCTTCAGGCAGGTCCCTAAAGCTCTGCTGCAATGTAGGAAGGCTGGTTGGATTTGGCAGCTGGGCATGATAGGGTTCACTGGGGCACTGGTCTTGGGGAAGTCCTTGCCCTGCAGGAGGAGTCCAGTAGCCGCACAGGGCAATTCCAGTTCTCTGCAACCAAAGCTCTCACCAGCTCCCATGAGACCTGGAGGCTGTGGCACCACTTGTCCATTGCCATGTGGGCTCAAGGGCATGGCACCCATGCCCTGCTTGGAGCCAGAGCCCCTGGAGCCACCCACCCACTGGAAGCACCTCTCCAGCAAGCGAACTGGGCCGGAGACAGGTGCGCGCGCGCGTACACGCACACACACACTCACACAGAGTGCTGACACCTCATACCCTCCATGGCCTGGGGGCAGTGTAACCTTCTGCCTGGAGCTGGCAGCTCTGCAGGGGGGTGAACGCAGAGTCCACAGGGCTGCGCCTCACCCATGCACCCTGTGTGGAACCTGGTGGCCCACCAGGGAGGTGAAGGCCGTGCTCTGATAGCCAGTGACAGTGCTTGCTTGGGCCAACCCAGCCCCTCAGAGAAGCCCTGAGCTCAGTATGGGCAAGTGGACTCCAGGCAGAAGCTTTAGCCCCCAATGGACTGAACACCTGGCATAAGACGTACCTTTATTCCAGGCGGGCCCTGAGCACCTGACAGCCCGGCAGGGCCCTGCAAGAAATGAGGGGCAGTTACCTCCTGGGACAGCCAGCCCCAATGTTCAGGAACAGAGTGCACACAGTGACCAGCAGCCTCTCATCTGCTTTGCTGTGTGGGAACTCCCAACCCACCTGCACCCTGGTTAGTAGGTTGGCCTTGGCACTGCCCAGCCCTGACCTTGCCAGTATTGTGGAAGGCTGCAGCATCAGCCATGCAGGGAACACAGAGTGGAGACACCTGCCCATGCCAGCTCACAGAGGGGGCGGACGTCACAATACCCCTTCTTGATGTGATCCCTGTGCCAGGGTAGGTGTCTGGGTACCCCCCAGACAGTCCCCTTCCCATCATTACAGCTGCCAATTCAATACATGCACTGAATTTAGGCGCTGCCATTCTCAGCGCTCAGTGCAGGAAGTGACATGTACTTACAGGGGGGCCTGGTGGCCCAGGTTCTCCCTGGCTGCCCTGCAGGAAAGGAGAGAGACAGTCAGTGCTGGGTACAGAACCCTGGGGCAGAGGGAGCTGATCACCTCTTGCCGTGCAGGGCTCAGGTGGGCCAACGGGGCTCTGGGCTTTGTTCAGATTGACAGCTTGAGAAGGGGGCAGTGGCTGAACTGGCACCAGTGTTTTCCCTGTCAGGAGAGCCCCTGCGCTGCCCCAGAGCCAGCTCTCCCACCCCAGAGAGCAGGGCTGACAGAGTTACACTCATGCTGCCCATGTGATGAGTGGGGCCAGCCCACCTGGGCCCGGGGGCTCCCCACCACCAGACACAGGCCGCCTGCTGCTTCTCAGATTCTGCAGTGAGAGTGCAGCAGGGATGCTAGGGCACTGTTTGGGAAAAGGCAGAGAGGGATGCAGGGAGCTGGCTGGTAAATCCATTATTCTGGACCCTTCTCTGCAGCACCCGCCAAGGCTCTCAGGGCACCTGGAGTGTGCAGTTACACCAGGGAGGTGCAGTGGTGTCACAAGCCCCAGACAGGAACACTGAGGCCCATGAATGGGCAGGAGACTTTCCTGAGTCTGAACCAGCACCAGACCCTGCATCTCCTGGGTCAGAGGCTCTGCTTTACCCCCGGGGGAATGGATCTGCCTCCCCACACCAAGCTCCCAAAGCAAACAGCTCCGGCTAGAAAAACCACAGGAGGGGGGCACGCTGGCTGCATGCAGGGGTGGGGGGACAACACCTACCGGTCGGCCCAGGACTCCAGGGAAGCCGGGCAAACCCTGTAAAGAGGCAATTCAGAGCCAGGGGATTAGCGCCCCCAAAGCAGCCCCAGCCCCAGGCCAGGCCTGGCCTCCTGCGAACACACCACCAAGGCAGAGCTGCACAAGATAGAGAGAGCTTGGGAAGGCACCGCAGACCATGCCCAGAACCAAGGCTGCTGCAGAGGTTACTTACAGCCAGGCCGGGTGGCCCCCTAAAGCCCTGTGGGCCCTGGATGGGAGGGAAGGACACAAAATGGCAACAGCATGAGTGGGCAGCACAACTTTGCAAGGGGCACGAGGGAGGGGGCATGGTGGCTCTGGGGCGGAGGGCCTGCTGTCCAGGGGGCATCTTCCAGGGTAGTGCAGGCACTTGGGTGCCTGGGGATGCAGCAGAAAGCCCTGTGCCTGCTCCAGCCCATGTGGCATGGAAGACACAGACAGAGCATGCGAAACACAAGGAGCTGGTCTAGGGCTCCCTGGTCTGTCTGGCTGGCTGCTCCATTGGAATCACAGCCTGTCCCCCTGTGGTGCCAAAGGACACCTCATCACCCTGTGGCCAGGGGGGCTTTGAGCTTGCCCAAAATGAGGAGCCTGAGGAAGGGGCTGTGCTGGGCTCCTGGGCACCTCACGGAAGCCATCTCCTGGGGAATGAGGATCTTGGCTGGGTCTGATGATGCGGAGATGCTGGTTCTGGACTGCACCCCAAACAAACCGAGCTGCCTCCCATCTGGTACCTGCCAGGCACCTGGTTTCCAGAGTCCTCCCTCTCACCCCACCCCTCCCAGCTGGCACTCGTCCCCATACTCACCGGCTTCCCTTCTGGCCCCGCCAGGCCTCGTTCTCCTGGAAGGCCCTGCAGCAGATGAGGCAATGAGCCCGCAACCCACAGCAGGCAGCAAGGCGCTGACTGCTCCTCAGCACCACGGAGGGCTGCACACAGTGGCTGCTAATCCAGCCCCCCTGGGCTTGGCCAGCCTTGGCTCCTGACCCACCACCCAGCTCATCCCAGTGGTACTCACCGGGCTGCCATCCCGACCTTTCTCGCCAGCCTCTCCCCTCTCTCCCTTCTGCCCAGGGTCACCCTGAAAATCAGGAGTGCAGCACATCACGTACAGCAACAAGTCACAGTGAGTCATCCTGCTGAGCCCCTGCCACAGCTCACCCTGGAGTCCCCCTTTCTAGGGCTGTTCTGATACTCTGGGGAGACAGCAGGGCTCTAGGTCTCTGAAAAGGGGGTATCTGAGCATCCCTAATGCCTGGCGTGCGTGCACGCGAGCGCGCGCGCGCGCACACACACACACACACACACACACACACACACACACACACACACACACTGTGTTTATGCGAGGGCCCTATAGTACAAGGCAGCCTTCTCCAACTGTGAGTGTCTGTGGGAGCTGCTGGCTTAAAGGTCTTGGGCCTGAGATGCCCTGCCTGTACACAGTTTCCCCCATGCACTAGCACCCACCTGCCCCGGAGGAACTCACTCAGGCAACACGAGGGGGTCCATGCCCACCTTGGGCACCCAAGGTGCCACCCAGCCCATGGCCTGTGGGCACCAATGAGGTCAAGAGGAAGGACAGCAAAGAGAGGGTGAGATGAAGGTGAGAGAGTCAGGTGTGCCAGGAAGGAGATGCCTGTGAGGGAGACGCAGCCAGAAGAGAAGGCACCAGCAGACTTACTATACTCAGACCTTATCTCCTTTGGGTCCCCTCTCGCCGTCCGCACCGGGTTCACCCTGCACAGGGAACAGCAGTCAATGGGGGAGAAGCCTAGCCCAGCTCCCCACTCCTCAGCTCCCAGCCTGTATCTAACCCATAGGCACCTTCCCGGGGCTCCAGCCCCTCTGACCTTCCGGTGCTTGTGAGTGCCAGCTCATACCTCAACCCCACCTCCAGCAGGGGCAGGGCTGCTGTCTGCACAGCCTCAGCCTCCTCCTGCTGTTACTCCCCTAGTGACAGAGGAAGTGATGGGTTGGCTCCAGGGGTGATGTGCACCTTTTTCCATGCTGGATGCCCTGGTTTGGGACAGGCCTGATCCCTACAGCTCTGCCACAGCCCACACGAAGAGATTCCTCTCCTGCTGCCCTGAAGCCCCTCTGGGGACTCCAAACCACCCAGAAACACCCCAGGAGCTCAGCAGAGGCTGTGCTGCCCCAAGAGGGGGTCAGGAAGGCAGAATGTCCTTGCCAGACAGCAGGCCCCACATGCAGGCTTTTGTGGGAAAGGCTGCAGATGCAGGACCTCATCCCACCTGGCTGGATAGCAGCAGCACGGCCCTCCTGGCACCATGCTGCAGTTCTTGGGTGAACCCGGAGGGAAGGAAGAGCCACTCGCTCCACTTCCTGCCATGCCTGGGGTCTATTTCAAGAACTGGCAGCCCTGACTGGGACAGCTGTAACATGTGGGCACAAAGTAGACTCTCCTTGGCACTAACCCTGGTTCCCTTGGGTCCGGCGGGTCCACGCTCCCCTGGAACGCCTGAGAGACTGCCGTCCATCACATCTGCCTGGAGGCAAGAGCAAAGTGAGAAGGGGCAGCCATAGCTGCCAGTGCCCCAGCTCCCCCATGTCCGGAGCTCTCCCAGGGAGTCTGCTCTCCTAGCAGGGGCTTGCCCACCCTCTGACGCCCCAGCAGGGCTCTTGCTCAGCTACAGGAATTGCCACACAGGCCAGGCTGGCAGGTCACCGAGTCCAGTGGCCAGACCCAGCTGCTTTAGACAAAAGAGCATAATAGGCTCATAAGTAGTCACTTATGACCCAGAGACACAGTTATGACCCAGAAGCTGCCCAGAGAGTCAGTTCAGCCCCAGGCCTGGGGTGGAGAGGGGTTGGCGGTACCTTGGAGGCAACAGCGCACACTCTTCCATCATGCTCTGTGCCAGACCTAACCTCAAGGGACTCAGGACAGGTCCCTGAAGGTAACACCCAGAAATTGGAAGCTGGTGGCACAGACAGGTTCAGGGAATAGGGATGTCACCCACGACCATGAAGATCTGTATTGATCCTGTCAGACAGGTCTGAGGGCAAAGCCAATCCTGCCAGATGCCGGGGCGGGAGTGGTGGCAGAGGGCAGGACACAGTGCATTGTGTCCTGGGACACAACTGTTTCCCAGTTTGGGCAGCCAGTGGCCTTGTGGCTACTAGCAGTGGCTTCCTGGTACCTGTCTGAGCTACCAGCAGCGCAAGGCCCTATGGGAACACAGGGCCACAGAACATGGAGAGGACCAATGGCTGGGGGGAACAACATTGTGGCTCTAACATTGAATCACAGGGGATCACCTTCACTGGCTCTGTCCCTGCCAGCCCTTCCTCCCCCAGCCCAGTCCCAATGGGCACAGCTGTCCAGAACTAAGTATCCGCTGGAGTGGGGCTAGCGGTGTGATAGGCGGCCACAGGGTGCTCACTTTCTCAGTACGTGGTCTTTCAGCTGTCATCCCACCAGCCCAGGGAGCCCGGGTCTCAGATTCCTAGGTGATGGCTCAGAGCCAAACGCAGTGCCCACAACAGGTTCTCAATTCCCTCCCGGCCCCTGCAGCCAGCCAGGGAGTAGCCAGGCTGGGGAGAATCACTCACCTTGGGCCCTGGGGGCCCGGGAGGACCCGGCTGGCCATCTCTGCCCTGGCAATGAGACAAACAGGTCAAGAGGACAGCTCCCAAGGGCACAGAGAGGAAGCCAGTCCCAGGGGATGAAGAGCCACAGAGCCTGAGCCCAGGCGCAGGCAGCCCTGGGACACCAGCCCACAGTGGGGAGAACTGGGAGGGCAGGAAACTGTCCTCCAGACACCTCCCAAGGCCCCAGACACCTTCCTTTTTGCAGTCAGAGATGCCCTTGCAGGGTGGCTGCAGCATGTTCTACTCCCAGACCCCACATGAAGCCACGAGGCCAGCCCAGCTAGAGACTGACACTGCCAGCACCCCTAGAAAAATCTTTCCCACTACTGCACATTCCAGCTCCCAGGGCTCTGGCCACAGGGTGTGGGCTGGGGCTCTCACTGGGAGCCATCAGCCTTCAATGCTCAGCAATGCGTCCCAAGTTCAGGACACCATGTGTCTGTCCGGGGGCTGAAGGACTACAGCCCTAAGGCTAGATGTCACCATCACTAAATGTCACAGGTAAGAACCTGAGCACCGGAAGTCTGTACTGGCACTCAGGCATGCATGCATGGGCATGCACATATGTGTGCACACACACACAGGCACACAGTCACCCCCACCAGGTCACGGCATGTTTGCAAGCCACAGGGATGGCACAGAGGGCACCAGCCTCACTCACCTGCTCGCCCCGCTCGCCCCTCTCACCCCGCTCGCCCTGCAAAGCAAAGGTGGAGGCGGGTCAGTGCAGTCAACTCCAGATTGTGGCTCTGCTCTCAGGTCCCCAGGAGGCAGGCACAGCAAGGCTGGCACTTTGACTCCCACCCAGACAGGGCCCATGCGGAGTCTGCCAGGCAGCTGAGGTCCTGCCCTGGCAGAGATGAGGGGAACTGGGAGCCTGCTCATTGAGACCATCTACTCCCGATGCCAGCCTCAGCAGAAAGGCCCTACTCCCTATGCTGCCCCCATGCACACAGCACTGATAATCACCCACAGAAGTCAGGGCTCACAAAACCAGCAGTGCCTCAGGGAGAGGCAGGCTCCTCAGCAGGCCCTCAGCCCCTCCTGGACAGCAGAGACCTTCACAGGCCCTGCAGTGCCATTGCCGCTCCAACCCTCTCCCCAACCTTCCCAGCCTTGCTCACCTTCTCGCCAGGCCTGCCAGCCTCCCCGAGCTCCCCGGCCCGGCCAGGCACCCCAGGGATTCCAGGCTTGCCAGGCTCCCCAGGCTGGCCAGGAGGCCCCTCTGGACCTCGGTCTCCGACGGCACGTCCCACGGGGCCTTGGGGGCCGGGGGGACCCTGGTCTCCTCTGTCACCCTTGGGGCCTCTCTCTCCAGGGAAGCCCCTCATGCCCTGCAGAAAACAGCACAGTTCAACTGGCTTTGACACCAGGTCCGCCATTTACAGTGCTAGCTGCCCCTGCCCTGCCAGAACCTGCCTTGTCCTGGCAGGCTCTTGCTGCAGCGATGGGGAGCTCAGGCCTTGGGGCTGGCTGGTCAGCACTGGAGTTACACATGCATTGTGAGCCACATGTCAGCCTGGAAGTGCAGAGATACGCTTCCTTCATAGGCTGCCCCAAGGAATGGGCCTCAGCCCAGGACTGGATGGACCCTGCCCAAGGGGCATGGACAGTTCAGTCTCTGTGGCTAGTGAGATATGGAGTCATTACACATTACTAGGGAGGCAATGGAGCCTGCCATTCCCTAACACTGGAAGCGTCACTTTCTGGGCTTTGCTGGTTGCCGCAGGGGGCTGGGGAATAGCATTCTCCCCTCCCACTCCCCCACCGCTACATGTCATGGTGCTTTTAAGCCTTCCTCATGGGCAATGGGTATTGGCTGCAGCCAAGGATGGGGACTGACTGGGGTGTGCTGGTGCTCCTGCTGGGACCTAAACCTAGATGTTCCTGGCTAGAGGGTCTTGCCTCTCCGCTCAGGGCCAGACCGATTGCCATATTTGGGGTCAGGAAGAAATTTTACTCCATGGTCAGATTGGTACAGACTATGGGGGTTTTGCCTTCCTCTGCAGTGGGGAGCATGGCCTTCTACCTGGGATCTCCTGAGCGTATACTGACAATCTTTACAGAAGCAGGACAGTGGCTGCCATGGTCCGACTGCTACCTGTGGCTACCTATGGCAAGTCTACCCATGGCAGGTTAGGGGGTTCTATGTTGTGTTGCGTCATGGTTGACTGTGTCGTTTTGCTACAAGGTTAGACAATGGATTTGTATGGGATGGTCTGGATGGGGCTGATCCTGCTCAGTCAGGGGTTGGACTAGATCTCTGGAGGTCCCTTCCGGCTCTGCTTCCCTGGATTTGGTGATCTGAGCAGCACAGACAGGCCCCTCATAAAGAAGCACCTTATCTGGGCCCTGTCACAAAGCCCTTGGGTTCCAGGGGAGCGTTACATGTAGGGAGGAAACCAGGAAAGCCCAGTATGGGCTGTGGCCCTGGCACAGATGTACAGAAGCCTGGTGGAGCTGAAGAGCCCATATGAGGGAAGGCAGCTGCACAGGAGAGGCATGACAGAGACCCCCCCCACTATGTGCAGGAAGAACCAAAGTGCCTGTTAGTCCAAAGCCTTGCTGGGATTTCAGGAACCTCCATCTAGGTGTGATGGAGTCAAACAGCCCTGAAGAGAGGGGGCCGAGAGGTCAGCAGCTCCTCTCCCATGGAGGAACCTGAGCCATAGTTGGCTTGGACACCAAGCAGCTCCACCTCTGGGGCTGGGCATGACTTGAAGTGGAGCCAGGGGGACAGTTTCAGAGCTACCCAAGGAGGCCGGTGGGATTTTCCCAGCTGATTCTCCCAGAGGATTCTTGGCTGATGGACACCTCACCCACTCCCTCCTCTCTGCAGCCTTAGTGCCTGCAGGCTTCTCCCCTTCTTACCTCTTTCCTTGGGGATCCTGTATCACCTGCATCCCCTTTATCACCCTTCTGGCCTCTTCGTGGCTCAGAGAAGGATGGGATCAAACCACTACTCCCATCATAGGTTCCCAGGATCTCTCGGAGTAAGGAAAGCTTTGGAAAGAGAGGAGTGCATCCTCTTGTCACATATGCACATGGGAGGAGCATGGAACAAGCAGCTGGGTTATAGCAGGGTTGGCAGGGTGTGCTGGCACTGCTGGGAGCCCATGCATTACTCCTGACAACCTTCAGGGAAGATGTCACCCCCCAGGCACAGCCTACCCCTGCCATACACCTGTCCACAATGGCACTGCTGGGAGCCAGGGGCCACCTGCCAGAGCCTCTGGCTTTCCTCATCACTGCCACGTGACTGCCGATCCTTCAACCCCTGCCCAGTGCACTGGGCAGGTGCCAGCACCACGCCCCACCATGCCTGATGGCTCTGGCTTCCCTCTCAGGCAGCCATCTCCCTGGGCCTTGGCCTCCAACAAGAGCCCTCAGCCAGGTCTGTGGTATCCCTACAGCACCTGGTCCCTCTCTGCCCATCCCAGCCTGGGCTCACTGATCACCAATGGCCAGGGGGACAGGCCCCTACTTCCCCCAAAGTGGGTGCCCCATTTGAGATGCCTCCTGGCTGCTGCTTTGCTTTGTACCTTAATCCCATAGGTCTCCAGGGCACGTTCCACATTCTAGAAAAGGGAAGGAAAGAATGAGAGCAATATGGAGGCAGAAAGCAGGAGGCCCCCACTCCCTCTGTGGGCCACGACCCCAGGGATCAACCCCCTATCTTTCCCAAGGACGAAGCTGGAAAGATGAGCAGATGCCCAGGTCACCCTGGGAGGAGGGGGTCAGTGGCTTTCCCTCTTTGACAAGTGCAGGATCACCCCATCAAGGAACTCACCTGTGTTGACCCAGGGTCACCCCGTGGTCCAGGAGTCCCAGGATTCCCCTATGGCCAGGGAAAGAAGGAAAGTAAGGCCAAATGAAAACAGAAATGCTCAGTGTTGGCAGCATCAGGGTGGAGGGAGCTGCCCTGGATAAGCTATAGCAGGAGCACAGTGACTGGGTGAACATGGGGTTGTAGAGCAGACAGACTTGTGCCCCCGGGAGGCAGAAGACCTCACTCCATGGTCAGCTGTGTGAGGCTGGAGAGTCACCCAGACTGAGGCTCACCCTCACCCCACCATGGCCACTTTACACAGTTCAAGACAGGATCCACATTCTGCCATGACAGCCTGCTCAACACCTCATCCAGCACCAAGGGAGCACTGTACTGAGCTACACAGTGGCAGCGATCGTCCAGGGGGATGGTGTTGGCAGCTCGCAGCCAGGCCTGCTCCCCATACCATGGCGGCTTCCCAGGGTCCCCACTTCCAGTGTTGCAGGCTTTTACATTACAAGGCCTGCGTCCCAAAGTCATCCGAGTAGCAGGTTGTGCAGCCCAGTTGGCGCAGCTACCGGTGCTCTCAGGGGTCTCTTTGGGTTCTGGCAGTACTAACACACAGTGCTGCACAGGACTGTGCTTGTCCAGGCTGGTCTTGCTGCATCCACAAGCACTAATTCCCTAGCAGCACCCTGCCAGCTGCATGCTGAAAGGGGTCTCCAGCACACACAATACTATTCTGCTGCAAGGGGAGGCTTGGCAAACACCGCCCCCCGCCCAGGGAATGCCTGGCATGGGGAGGCCCATCTAGGGAGCAGAGGGGGAAGTGAGAGGAGTCTTGTCTTCAGTTTGTGGAGTGGCTGCTCCAGAGGTCCTGGCTCCCTGTCCCAGCTTGTGGGCTCCCCACTCTGTGCCCTGAAAGCACCAATACCACTGGCAGGGGCAGACTTGATGAAGCTGGCGCCGCTGGGCACTCACTGGTTCTCCACTGGGTCCACGGTCCCCACGGTCCCCCTGAAACAGAGCAAGAGAAGTCAGGGTCCCTGCCAGCCCAGGGATGGGAACATGGGGTGCCACACGGGATTCTTTCCGACTCCCATGGAAGAGGTAAGACTGAGAGAATGTAGCCTGGTGGAGCCCTGGGGAAGGTCAGATACCCGCATCCTCTCCTTGGACAGCAGAGGTGACTCTGTGACCCAGTGCTCTGCCCTTTGCTGGCCCTATGTCAGAGATCTCTGCTGCCTCAAAGATTCCCTGAGGTCTGGGCCAGGCATGGACCAGAGCTGGGACTTGCCCAGAGCCCCCACTGTCCTGAGGCATCCCAGAGAACAGCATCTGGGGCTGAACATCAGCAAAGATCCACACCCCTTCCCACACCAGTCCACCACTCTTCACTGAGGCCCCCAAAGGGGCTCTTTTGCTAGGCCTTGCTCCTCCACAGGGAACTGCCCAGAAGACACCAGGCCAAACAGGTGTGTGGGAAGCCAGGCACAGGGTCTGTACTAGCCAGCTCTGACCCTTGAGTGCCTGGCAGCAGGTACTCTCTGGGAAGCCATTCCCACCCCATCTGACAGTTCAGATGGACTGCCAGGGAGCCAGGAGCAGCTACTGTCCTGAGGCTGGGTCGTTAGCAGCTGGAATCACCACTGCCTTGCAGCACCACGATGTGTGGCAGGAAGACACTTACCTTCGGTCCTATAGGCCCCGGGTGGCCCGGTGTGCCCTGAAAGGTATAGAAGAGCCCCAGTCAAATCCTGGAGCTGATGTGCAGGGCTGAGCATGGCTTCCCTGCAGCCAGAGAGACCTGTGGACAGCCCAGACCTGGAGGGAGGAGGATGTCGAAGGCCCACAGCTCAGGGGCCCATGCAGAGGGGAGTGAATGCCAGGACTGAGAGGAGGGACCAGCCCGGGCTGGGATTCCCCCTGCCCCTAGGTCTGCCCCCTCCAACACAGGTGATCCCACAGTGAGGAGTCCACAGGGAAGGACAGTGGCGGGGTAGGGACAGGAGAGCACAGTCACACCCTGTGGGGTTAGAGAAGGGCCCCCAGTCTCTGTGGCCTGGATGTGAGACTTCCCTCTGCTACCTAGATCGGCAAGCTTAGGGACCTGCTGTGGACAGGCCTGTTTCCCAGTTCAGCCATGCAAAAGGCAGCTGGTGGCTTTCACAGGGATAGAGAGCCAGGATGCCTGGGTTCTGTTCAGAGTAGATTCTCCTGTCTGGGAGCTGCAACTCCCATCTACAACAGCTTTGGTCCCATCTGTCCCACACAGGTCCCCTGAACACCTGGGCCTCTGGCTTGCGCAGTTGAGAGGGTTTGCCTGGGGTTAGGTACCTGGCCTGGGGATCCAACGTGCCCTGGTACGCCTGGGAGGCCAGGTGGTCCTGAGGGGCCGGGTGCCCCAACGCCTCCTCGATCACCCTTGACACCCTCACGGCCCTGCCAACACAGAACAGAAGCATCACTGCCTGATGCTGACCCCAGCAGGCCTCATGACTGCTGATAGTCGCATGGCTGGCAAAAGGGTGACCATGCCCAGGGCTGCCAGGGAAAGGCACCAGCTTTCCTGCCCCAGCCACTGCCTACTGAAGGTGGAGGCAGCACCTGGGAGCAGTGGAGTCAGAGGGCCACCAGTGCCTGTCCCACAACCCCCACCCCCAGGCTGCAGCTCATGAACCAGATCTAGAGCCCTTCTCATTTCAGGTCTGAGTTAGGTACAGCAACAGGCCTCCATATGCATACTCCTGTGAGACAGTGTGAAAGCCTGTGGATGCAACCCCGACCCCTGCCAGCTGGCAAAGGGCATGGGCCACTATGCATAGGAGGGCAACAACACAACAGACAGCGGGCGGTGTTCTGGCAAGATGTGCAGAGCTGGCAGAGCACAGCCACCTCCTCACTGCTCTTGGGGCTGCAACTGGCTCCAGACCAGCGACATACCCGACTGCAATGGGCAACAGTGGAAAAGGGCCATTAATCATATGTATTCAGGATAAGGGAGTGTAATGGGCAACTCTGGGAGGCCCCGCACCAAGCATGAAGGGGGTAGGTGGAGTTCACAACTGAGCCAAGCCTGGGCCCAGCTGGGGGGGGGAGGGCAGGGAATGGAGAGCACTTACATCTCTGCCAGGAGCACCAGCTTCTCCCTTGTCCCCCTAGTCAGGAAAAGCCAAGAGAAAGCAGCTTAGGAACACTTGACAACAATATAGCCAGGTGCTGCCAGCAGGGCCCCAGCCCCCCTCACAAATTCTGGCCAGCCTGGGATTTGCACCACAGGGTCTGGCTCCCACCATGCTGCCACTGGAGCCAGCCCAAGGTCCAAGGGGGCAGGAGGGAGCACCAGACCCTAAACTTGCCCTCTTGCCTACAACATTGGCCCCAGAGAAGTAGTTGTTCAAAGGAGACAGAGCCCTCTCCCCTGAGAGGGACACAGATGATACAAAGGGCCTGGCGGAGGCTGGGGGCAGCTGTCCAGCCAGGAGCAGGGGCATCTGTCTCCCAGGGACCCCACATGCTGGACCATGCCCATATCTGCCCAGGGGAAGGAGGTCCCCGAGTTCCTTACCTTCCTTCCATCTTCTCCTGGGGTCCCATCTTCTCCCTGGAGGACAAGAACCAGCAGTCAAAGCTCTGTACCACACAGGCTACAGGCAGGAGCAGGGGACAGCCCAGCTCAGACACCCGCAGCAGGGCATCACACGGCTTCCTGGAGGAACCCCATGCTTCCACCTAGGCCTGGCACAACAGAAGCTGGGGGCCAGTCAGGACCAAGCCAGGTGGAAGTGTGGGGGCTGGCTGGAGCTCAGGGCAGCAGGAGGAAGGCCTGTCTGTGCCCCAGTCTGCATCTCCCTTCTCCTGTGGGGCTGGGTCCATTACTCACATTCTTCCCAGTCAGACCAGGTTTTCCGTCATCTCCAGGTTTGCCCTAGAGGAAAATGCAAACTGTCAGCTGAGCCAGGGGCCTTCCAGATACCCTGGGAAGCAGCAGGGAACTTCTCCTGGCATCTAGCAAGGCAGCTGGAGCCTGACATGCAACCTGGGAGCAGCAACTCCCAGAGACACTTGGGCTGGGGTACTTGCGCCAGCCTGCCAGGAGAGCAGCTAGGCTTCAAGGCTCAGCATGTGGAGGAGATGAACAGGGCTGCTGAGAGCCCAGAGGATGGCTGAGTACAGCAGGAAGAGCCAGGTGACCAGACCCTGGGTCAGGAGACCTTGGGGGCAGCTGGTTCAGGACACAGGGATGGGCCATGGGGACTGGCCTCCAGGGAAGAGGGCTGCTGTCTCCCAAAGCACTTGCTCAGGCCCAGGTGGCAGGCAGGTGTAGCAGGAAAACTGAGTTATGCGAAGGCTTTTTAGCCATAGTCCAGGCCTTCCCAGAACTAAGCAACAAAATTGAACAGAGCACCTTCTGTGGCTCTGGGAGATGCGAGTACTGTGATGGGGACTATGCAAGCAGGGCATAACAATTTCCCTATGAGGAATGTGGCTGGCACAGTGCCAGGGGATTGGTGTACCATATAAGGAACAATTGGCACAGAGCCAGGGGATTGGACAATTTGGAATGAGAAAAATTACAAAAGTGATGGACAAACAAAGGAACACGTGTGTTTTGTGTTGCCACCCTGTGGAGACACGAGCAACCTTGGGATTCTTGTTTGAACAATGAGGAATACAGAAACTAACATCCCACACACCCGGCAGAGGATCTGAAGCCTGTACCACTGAAGGTCGCTGGTGTAATGTCTAAAGGAACCGCTTGCCAGGTTGTAGTATAAGGAGGTAGCTTGTAATAAAGCATAGGGATTACTATTAAAGTTCACTAGATACAAAATTGGACAATGGGCCGTGTCAATCCTTGGGGGTCTCTGGCAAAAAGAATTCTAGTAGTAACAGCAGGGGTGGGGAGGGAGGAAGCAAGGGTGGGAAGGAACGGCAGCTTCATGGCCAAGCCCCTGGTGAGGAGCAAGGCAGAGAGGGAGTGACCTGGGAGCCTCCCAGGGCGGAAGCACAGCTCAAGGGGGTGGGAAACCCACTCAATCTACTTACAGGCAGGCCTGGTGGTCCGGTGGGGCCAAGAGCTCCTGGAGGGCCCTGCTCCCCCCGCAGGCCAGGCAGCCCCTACAGGGAGAATACAACAGATGACTGGCAGGTCATGGAGCAAGGCAGCTCCCCCAGCCCCTCCTGGACAGGAGACAGCAGAGACAGCAGCTGCACAGAAAAGGGAGAAGAGAACCAGCAGCCCTACCAGGCCAGCAATGCCAACAGGGTACGTGGTGAAGGGAGGCAAGGGAGCAGGAGCTGGGGTCTCTGCAGGGCAGGCATCTCCACCACACTCAAGAGTTCACCACACAGCAAAGCACCAGAGGAAGGACCTGGGACTAGAGGAAACCCCAGTCTGATTGGGAGAGGGCCAAAGCTGTGCCCTAGTGAGCCCTGCGCCTGCTCCTGGAAGCCTCATGCAGCAGACATGGGGGGAGGGAGGGGGTCCTATAGGAAAGGCAGGAGTGTTTGAGCTATGTGTACCCCAGCACCCTGCAGCTCTAGAGTACTTACATCTCGACCAGGATCCCCCTGCTTGCCAGGGTCACCCTAGAAGAACAGAGGAGAATGAGATGCTGATCAGTGAGGCGGGTCTCAGCCTGGAGTCTGAGGCCCAAATGCTCCCGTCTGCAGGCTCCAGACAGGCCTGGCACATTTCAAGGACCTGACAGCAGCAAGAGACCAGCTCCGACCTGGCTCAGGCTACCTGATGGGCTCTATGGTGGCTGACGCCACAGGCACCGATAGTCCCTGCAGCATCATGCCACTAGCACAGCCAGCACTGACACGGACCCTTGGCCAAAAACAGGTGGGAGTGTCCCAGAAACCAAGGTCCCCCCATCCTCAGGGTTGGCTGCAGGGGCACCAGCAGGATTAGGAAATGCTCCATAGGGTGATGCTTTCTCCCCCTCCCTGCAGCAACCCTCACAGTGGGGGCAGCAGCTCCTGCTACAGACAGCCCAGGAGTCCCCTGGAGTGTTCTGGGCACCGGCTGGCCTTGCCACTGGGGCACATCACACTACTGGGTGTACATGTGCCTCACGGGACCTGGCTGTCTCTGGCCAGTGGCTCTGCCTGTGGGGGATGCCAAGGGGCAGCCTTGCTGTGGGGAAATACCGAGGGCAGGCCACACTTACCCTCAGCCCCATGGGGCCCATCTGCCCGGGTTTGCCGTCCAACCCATTCCGGCCATCCAGCCCTGGGGGGCCTCGCTCTCCCTGCAAGAGAGCAGAAAGGGAAGGCTTTACACTGAGGCCTTCCCTGCTCCCCTGAGAGCCCTGGCTGGGGACCCCCAAAGCCCAGCACAGGACCTAGTGGAGTATGGGCATCAGTGACCAGGCTGGAGGAACAACAGGAGTATGTCAAGGTGACAGGAGCCAGGGCAACATCCTCCCAACACAACGCCTGCCTGGCCCCATCTCAGCCCACCTCCTTCTCCTGGTCCAGCCAGCCCCAGGCAGTGGGGCCCCTGAGACTGGTTGGGAATGTGCCTGCTCACCTCTGAGCTGCTTCCAGAGGCCACATTTGCCTGGGACTCAGCTTGGAACAGACAAGACAACTGGGTCGCCAGGAGCGAGGACTCTGCCCCTGCCTCTGCCCCCTGCTCTGACTCCTTGGCCACTGCACAGCCCTGCCCAGTCTCTGGCCCCTCCACAGCCTGCTCTCCTCACTACCCAAATGCCAACCTACTCCCCACCTTGACCCAGGCACTCTTCTCCCTCCACACTACCCCCAGTCCAAGCTGGTGCCCTGTGCTCTGACCGCCCCCCCAGTACATTACCCTGGTCTCCAGACACCTCCTCTCCCAGGCTAGGAGGCTCTTCTGCAGCTACAGTAGGGCAAACCAGGTCCTGGCACTCCAGCTGCATGCCTGTCCACCCCTCCCTTCCTCCCCCCCACCAGTAGGCATGGGCCCTGCCTGCTCTGCGTCCTCCAGCCAGGCTCTGGTACTGAACTCAGCTGTATCCCCCCACCCGGACATGGGGATGGGCCATGGCAGAGCTCCCTGCAGTGCACCAAAGGGGCTCTCTTACCTTCTCCCCCGTGGAGCCTCTGTCTCCAGGGTCACCCTGTGGGGGAGGAAGCACAAGTCAGGGGGCCTGGAGTCTGGGGAGGGGGCTGCAGGTGGGCACCAAGCAACAGGAATGGGTACTCACTCACCCGCGTGCCGGGGGGACCTCGGGGGCCTTCGATTCCCTGCAGACGGAGAGAGAGATGGTTGTGCTGGGGGGGATGGGAGGAGAGCAGGCCAGTGCCCGCCTTCCCCTGACATACATGTTCCATGCCGACTACACGCTCACTGCCTCTAATAGCCCTACCCCAGATTCAACCTCCTTCCCCTGCCCTGCACCTGGCCCCCTGCCTGCTCCCACCATGACCCCCCCATGTGCACCCCACCTCCAGGCACCCCAACTCCCTGAGAGACCCAACCCCAGCATCCTCCCCAAGCTTACTGCCCCCAGCACAGTCACCCCTGCCCTTATCACAAGCTATCTCCTCTCATGACACACCCAGTCCCTCCTGCCCCCTCCTGTGCAATCCCACCCCTCCAGACTCCCATGCCCCACCTCTGACCAGCACTTGGCAGGCAGGGGTTTCAGGCAAAAGGCACAGTTCCCCAGACAGCTGCTGGGTGGCCAGTACCTACCCTCTCTCCAGGTGGGCCAGGCAACCCAACCTCGCCCTTCGCACCTTTCATCCCATCCTCTCCAGGATCCCCAGGGTCTCCCTGCAAGGGAAACAGCCAGTCAGAGCAGCTCCCACAAGGGACCACAGCTGCTCAGGGCATCCATCCAAGTGGACCTGTGCCTTTGCTCCCCCAGCAGCAGCCCCTTGGGGCAGGAGTGGGGGCCTGTCCTGCAGCCTACTCCTGCCATGCCACCTGGGGAACCCAGCTGGGCAGGGAGGGTGAGTGGCACTGTTTGTCTCTGCTGCACAACAATGCTCCATGAGGCAGTCCTGAGCACAAAGCAGGCAGAGCAGCGGCCAGGGCCAGGGCCAGCTGGAGCCCAGGGGTTCTTGGCTGGGCTGTCCCCACACTCCCACCCCAACCCAGCTCACCACCACATTACCTTCTCGCCTTTCTCCCCGATGCCCCCTGGCACTCCTGAATCAACCTGCAGAGCAGAAAGAGAGGTCAGGCACTACAGGGCCCAGGGCACCAAGCCAACACAGCCAGGGAAGGGACACAGAAATGCTAAGCTTACAACTCGTCCTGGGGGTCCTGGTGGCCCCTGCAAAGGAGAAAAGGTACAGGGTCAGTAGAGGCCTCTGTTGTACCCACAACCCAGGGCACACAGGCAGGATGCAGCCACATCCCACGTGGGATGTGAGAGGGGACAGGCCCCAACACAAGCTCCACAGGGCACAGACCCACCCCCAGTGCATGGCACCAGAGCTGTGGGGCAGCCAGCAAGCTGGGGAACAGCAGGGTGCCCAAGATCCACAGCTCTGATGCACAAAGCTTCACGTGTCCCAGGGGATGGCCTTAGAGCCAACCTGGGGGCTCAGAGAGGGCCACTCATCCAGGCTCCCAGCACTCACTTTGCCCCTGCACCTCCGCTGCCCAGCCAGGCCTGACTGTGCAGTGACCAGAGGCTAGAGACTGGCTGAGGAGCTGACACTGAGGACACACACTCCAGCAGCTGGGAGCACCAGGCAGTGCCCACAGCCCAAGGCGACTTCTGATGGAAGGGAAATACTGACAGTCCCATCCCCCATGGCTCAAGTCTTGTGCAGGGGCCAGCAAGCATGGGAGGCAGGCTGGTGTCAGCTGGTCACCGCATGGTTCAGGGTATCTCTGCCCCTGCGTCCATGGGGCAAGGGTATGATGGACCCAGGTTCAACACAACTCTTCTCAGAGGCTTCAAGAAGCACAAGCCAGGCCCAAGTTTGAGGGCCCAGACTTCCATGCCTTGTGAGCCAAAGCAGTGCCCATGTACCCTGGCCCCTGGGGTGGAGAGTGAGGGCTGTGGCAGAGCCCCCAGGAGAAGGGGCTGTCCCAGTCCAGGCACCACATGCTCCCATCAGATAAAGTAGCACAGATGGTCACAGCTACTCACCGGGTCCCCACGGTCGCCCTTGTTCCCTGGTGCTCCAGGACTGCCCTGTGAGAAGAGAAAGGATGTGGTGAGGAGGGGGCAGACATTGGTGCTGGGGACAGGGTGGGCTGGGCACCCGACACTCACGTTTCTGCCCTCGGCGCCTGGGTCTCCTTGGTCACCCTTCTCCCCAGGGAGGCCACGGTATCCTGGAGGGCCCTGTGAAGAGACAGCAGGTGAGGCAGTATTCTGAAAACCCCAGCACATTCCCACAGGTCTCAATGATCTCCCCCACACGCTGTACCAGAGGTCCCCCTCTACTTACCCGGGCGCCTCTGTCCCCTGGCTTTCCTGGAGGCCCCGACTCACCCTAGGGAATAAAGAGATGGGAGGTGAGAAGCTGGGTAGGGGAAGTGAAGGGGATGAGGCAGGTGAGGGGCAGTGAGAGCCCCAAGGGAGGGGTGGCACTTACCGGGGTCCCCTCATCGCCCTTCTCACCAGGCTCACCCTATGGCACGAACAACCCAGCACCCAGGGGGAGAGGAAGCAAAAATGCTGTTACCTTCCCTGCCCACCAAGCATGGAGCTGCCCATAGCACCCAGATGCTTCTTCCCTCCTACCAGCCTCCCCACCTTTGGTGCAGACCCAGACCCAGCAAACATGCCAGGGCTCCACACAGGTGCCCCTGCTTCCCCCAGCCAGGTGCCCCCACTCCTTGCTTTGTGTCCCTCTCAGGTCCCATGCACAGGACCTTATGTCTGTCAAGAAGGGCCTCTTGATGTTGCCATGGCAATCTGGCCCAGCATCACCATGGAAACTAAGCCTGGAGGTGCAACAACACTGCAGCCAGGAAGGGGCTCTCTGCTGCTGGAACAGGCTGAGCCCCAGCCACTGCCCCAGGAGCACCCCTCTGCCTGCACTGCACCCTGCCAGGCCAGGCCTCCCACCCCGCTGCAGCGCAGCCTCTCCCCATTACCTCCTTTCCTCGCGGGCCAGGCTGCCCAGGGGACCCTGCTCTCCCCAGCTCCCCTTTCTCACCGGGCTCGCCTGGGTCCCCCTGGGTGAGAGTAAATCAACACAGAGAGGAGATAGGGAGTCAGTGTCCTGCCAGCAGCAGTGAGGGGTGTCATTGCATACACATATGCACTCACATATGCACACACTCACGCATGCACAGCTGTATGCACACATGCACAGACCCACATTCTTAGCCCACGTACATGGGACAGAGAGGGGGAGAGGCCTCCCACGCGCCCTCCCCCGGCCGCAACCCTCACAAGAGAAGACCCGCAAGAGCAACCCCTGGACCCACACACCATATTCCCAGCGCAAGGGGGACGGAGAGGTGCACAAGCCTGCACAGCCCCTTATCCTTACTGCTCCCCCCCTCCCTGCCCCCCTGAGCCATTACCTTGGGGCCACTCCTGCCAGTGAGGCCAACAGTCCCCTGGAGAGAAAGAAGCTGTTAATGGGGCTGAGGGGCCTTGAAGAGGCCGAGGGGGGTCAGAGGAAGCGATGCAGTGAGCTGCACTTGTCTGTGGGCTGCTCCTGGGGCAAAGGCAAGGCCAAGAGAAGCTGTGTCCCTCATCCTAGGGTCCAATGTGCACAGAGCCTGCTCTTGTGCAGAGGCTGGAAAGGCCCTCACAATGGCACAGGGGTGCTGGACCTGTGCAGAGCTGGCTCTGCCTCCCCCACGTTCACCTGCAGATCCTGCCCATATGAGGTGGCAGGGCCAGTCACCGTCCCCACCAGCATGGGGGATGCATGCTGAGCTGTTCCCTCCTCCAAATCTGGCCAACAGCACCCTGACGTCCAGGAGGCCCAGAAGCACGGCCGCTGCCCCCACGGGAGGGGATGCCGGGCAACCCACCAGACTTACCCTTTCCCCCTGCTCTCCTTTGGGGCCGGGTGGGCCAGAGATGCTTAATCCAATGGGGCCCTGGAATGGAGAAAAGCCAGGTCAGGAGGAGAAGCAGCTCTCCCAGCACCTCACAGGTGAGGGGCTGCTGCCACTTGTCTTGCCCCCAGAACAGGGTGGGTTTGTATGCCCAGAGGAGGGAGTTACTGAAACACCACAGAGCAGGATGCCCAGCAATAGAGATGAAGACCCTCCATCCTGAGCCACCAGCTGGGCTCAAGCCTAAGAAGCCCCCCACTCTGCTCCAGGGCTGAGAGCCCCTGCAGTGCCCAGGCAGGCTGTTGGCTGCAGGGGGCTCCTGCCCACTAAGGTTTGGGAGAGGATCCAAATGCCTGCAGTGAGGGGGGCAGTCCTAGGTTTCAGTGGGCACTGGAGATGGCTTCAGCCCCTGCTCCTTGTTGGCTGCCCACCCTCAGCCAGAGCTCCTGGGTGGGTGGCCAAACCCAGGGACCTGGCCCAAGGATACTCACGCGGTCTCCTTTATTTCCAGGGTCTCCCTTGGAGCCAGGGGGGCCCTCTGGTCCTGCAGGACCTTTGTCACCCTAGAACAGAGGACATGGCCCTGTGAGCCGCCCAGACTGGACACCTTCTCTTGCAGATGGAGGGGCGTGTGCACCAAGGGGGAACATGGCTGACAAGGTCCCCGCCAGATGGCAGCAGACCCCCTCCCCTCCAACCCCACGTGCTGTGTAGCCATTGGGTCCAGCCGGTGAAGCATACAGATGTGGCCTGCATATCATCTCCAGACCTCAGCCTCCATGATTCACACCAATAGGGCAAGGGAGGGGTGGGAATAGAGGGGGAATGCCAGGCAAGACTAGCACTGGCTGAAGGGACAAGGGGTGAGCACAGCATGTGGACATGGAGCATGTGGGCATCCCCTGGGCACTGGGCAGCATGTGCAGAGTTGAGCAGAGACCTGGGCTCTCACCCGTAAGGGCTGTGCACATGCCCTACTAACCTCCCCCCAAGTTGGGGGCAGAGGGGATCAGCCACCAGACATAGCCTCTGTCACAGTGGGCTGAGCTCTACACCCCACTGCACACTGTGCATCCCGTGCACACACAGCAAGACAGAGCTGCTGCAAAAGAACACATCAAAGAAGCCTCTGGTGCCATTCAGACAGAAGCGCCATCAGTTACCTTCTCTCCTTTGATACCAGAGATGCTGGCAGCCTGGGGAGAAACACAGAAGAACAGCTGAGGCCTGAGAGGCCGACAGCAAACAAATGCTCCTGGAGCGCCCCGCCTGCCCCTTGGGAGGGGATCATTACCTCTCAGCCCTTGTTTTGTGACCCTGGTCTCCACAGAAACAGACCCCAGTCCATCCCCTGGCTCCCCCTGCACCCAAGCTCCTGTGGGTGCGGTACCACCTTGCAGCCAAGTCCCCACCCTTGCACCCCCTTCTCATCAGCACTGATGTTGGACCCCTACTGCCCACCCTTCCCTGTAAGGCTCAGCTCCCCTCTGCTGGACTCTGTGAGTCCAGGCCCACCCTCCCTGCTACCCAGGAGGTCACTTACCGGCCTCCCAGGTTCCCCAGGAACTCCTGGATCTCCCTGAGGGAAGGAAAACAAGAGAGGACAGATGTCAGCTGCCCCTGCCTGGCACCCTCCTCACAGGGGCTGCAGCTTCCCATGGGGGCATCAACTTCCTCCAGACTCAGACCCTTCCACCCCACCCCCGGCCCCATGCTCAGCATGGCCCCCCCAGTGCAGGCCACTGAGACCCTAACCCGCCCTGAGCATCAGAGCTTTGGTGGCTCAGCCACACTGATGCTGACTGGGGGTCAGTTACATAAGAGGAGGCTCCTCCCAGGCCAGGGCCAGAGCAGAGGCATGGGCTGCTACCCCCATCAGCATTCCCCCCACCAACAGCTGTGGCCATCCCCTGCAGGGGAGCTAGTATGGCGGGTGGAGCCAGTCACACTGCAGTCCAAGTGCCTGCTCCCAGCAAATACTGTCCCCCCTGTAACACTGCAGCCTCCATGTGTGTGGGTGGCACTGAGCAGAGCAGCAGGCCACCAGCCTCCCATGCTCCCAGCTCTCACTGGAGTATTAGCCAGGGAACTGAGCACAAAGCTCCCCCTCCGCAGGGAAGTCCCCACACCGAAGGGTCCCCTTCTCCTTAGAACATCCCTCTAGGGAAGATGTGTTCCTGGCTGCTTCTTCAGAAGAACCCAGCCTAGCTCCCCAGTACTTCACTCTCTGGGCCCCAGGGCCTCTCCTCTCTCAGCCCCCAGGCTCCACCTTGTGTCAGGAATGAAGCCAGGCATGGAGAAATAGGGGGGTCTGGCTGCTTTATCTGTTGCATTAAGGGTAATCACAGTATTTTGTACACTGAGACCATGCACTGCTGGTCCGGGGCTCATTACTGGGCAAAGGACACTGAACGCAGCAGCCCCAGGATGTCCCAAGAGACAGATGAGGGAAGAGCATCTCCATGGCTGGAGTGCAGTGCTAGAGGACAGCATCCCCTCTCACCCTACAGGCACCCCAGCAACACTGTGCCCACCCCAATAGCTTCCCAAGGGGCACAGCAAGTAGGCAGAACATAGGCTACAGCGAAGGGTCCCTACCTTTTCCCCTCGTGGACCGGCTGGTCCTGGCAATCCCTGTTCCAGAGATTAAAGAGACAAGAGAGCAGCCCCTCAGAGCGCTGGCATAGCTGTCCCATGTCCTGGCCAGGCACACCAGGCCTTCAGGGAGGCGCGTGCCACAAGCCAGTGCAAGACTGAGCACGGACCCAGTGTCCGTGTTCAGGAGCAGGAGGAAGGTCCTGCCAACCTTGTTGACTCGCAGTCTAGGGCCTCAATTAAGGCAGAGCAGTTTCAGACAATTGTCTCTGCCTCTTCCCACCCCACAGCGAGTCATCCAGGCTGCACTTGGATGCCCTGATGGCTGCTTCTGAGGGGAAGAGCTGCCATGGGCAGTCAGCCAGGGTGCAGCAGCAGGAGATGCCTCAGCCTGGGTCCTTTGCCAGGGCCTCCAGCATTGCTGGGCAGGCAGGTGCTTCAGCACCGTAACTTTCCACTTCAGCCTGCCACACTCACCTCTCTGCCAGATGGGCCCAAGCGGCCTGGACCTCCGGGCTCCCCCTGACAAAGAGGAAAAAAAAGGCTTCAGGGGAAACAGAGCATTCTCAGGACATAGCTTCCACCTCTGAAGGTGGGCACAAGGCAACCCGCTTGGACTGGAGCCACCTCACCCAGCTGACTGCTTCTGCCCTTCTCCCTCACCCATTGAAGCCTTGGGGCTTTGCTCCTGCCCTCCTGAGCTGCGGGTTGGGGATGGGTTCAGGGCAGGCGACCCACTACAAAAGCTCACAGAGCTGGTTCAATGCCCCCGGCCAGCACCCAGCCCATTGTGCTGCCATATACAGCCATGCCACCCCCGACCTGTCCCTCCTGTGCCTACTGGGGCTGCAGGCAAAGATCTGGCACCATCATCACATGTATGTTGGAGACAGAGCTAAGGGAGCAGGGCAGGGTCCCACATTGCTTGGGTTGGTGTGACCAAAGAAAGCAGAGAACTACATTTACATTTCAAAGGCAGAACCTGGAAGAGGTGAGAGAGTAGACTACGCTGAATGCATGAGAGATGTTTTATACATGAGGGACATGATATATGTGAGGGGCATGATATATGTGACTATGGTCAAGGCACCCAAAGGAGAGAAGGAGGTGCAGATTCGCCTTTAAAGACCCAGGCAGAGATGAGGCCTGTGGAATCTCCACTCCAAGGCCTAAGCCCTGCAGATTCCACAGAAGGGCTTTCTGAATCCCTGGCTGTAAGGACACACTTTGCCCTCAGGACTACATAAGATTCATGCAAAGGCTTTCTGTTGTCTTTTTGGTTTATTATACTGCATTTTAAATTAGACTAAGTTGTTCAAGCATTTCTGAATTCAGTGCCACTGCCTAAAGTCTAATATTAAATTTGGTAACAGGGTAAACAGCACAAACCATGGCCAAGGGCCGGACTGAGTGACTTCCCTGGCAAGGGCTGTCCCTGACCATTACCAGATCTGCTGTAGCTGCTGTGTGTCAGCTGCTCCCAGAGATTGGGTCTGGGGGGGGCAGAGGGGACTGAGGTTAGCCCAGAGCAAACTTACCTTCTCCCCTTCAGGCCCTGGGGGTCCACGATCTCCCTAGAGAGGAGAGGGAACGAGACCAATTCAGTTTGGCTCACACTCCCTGAATGCCCTCAGATGAGCCTGTGATAGCTCCCCAGCAGATAGCCACCTCCCCAGAGACCCCTCTGAAACAGTGCACAGCTTCCAGCTGCTTTCCCCAGCCCACTGCAGGGGCTCAGACTCCACCAGTCAGTCACCAAGGACACTTCACAGCCCAGTACATTCAGGGAGGATCCTGGCCTGGTTGTCCGTCCCCTTCCAGACAGGTGGTGACCTCCTCTCCCAGGGGCTCATTTCTCCCTCTGCTTCTGGGGCAGATGCTTTGGAGCAGAACATTAGCCCTGCCATGGGCAGAGGACTCCTGCAGGGAGTGTGGGACCTGCAGGGCCAGGTTCCTTTTTCCAGAAGCCCCTGCTCCCAGCAGCAGGAGGTGAAGCTGAGTGCTGCCACCTCCCTGTCTCTAACCCCTGGGTTGGGGTCCTCCACCAGGCTGCTACCAGCCAGGGCAGCAAGAGGACCTGCTGGAACCCAAACCTTGTGCTGGGCTGGCAGGGCAGAGGGGTTTGTGAACCCTGGAGGGCACAGGTGACTCCGTGTACCCCACACTCACCTTTTCCCCTGCTTCTCCAGTCTCTCCTGGAAGCCCCCGGTCTCCCTGCCATAAAAAAAATCCAATGGTGTCACTGTCAGACAGTACAAGGACCACGCCAGGGACCCCTGGCATAGTTGAGGTGCCCATGCAGCCTGGGACAGGGAGAGAAAGAGCAGGCTCCACAGATACGTGTGGAAGGAAAGCCACAGAGCCACCTACCTTCCGTCCTTGCTCGCCTGGTGGTCCCCGCGGACCCTAGCAGAGGAAGCAAAAATGTCAGATCTCTGCCACTGAGCCCAGGCCCCACTCAGCCAAGAGGGGTTGGCCATGCCACCTCACCTTCTTTGCCACCTGCTGCTGTCCAAAGCCAGTGCAGGATGACATGCCCAGCCCAGGGCAGGTCCATGGTTGGGATGGGACCTGTCCTTCTCCCAGGACCAGACCCGAACTCCTCAAGGTACCGGGGGCAATGCCTCCCTTTGCTCAGTCCTTCTCTCCAGGGCAGGACACAGGGCGGAAGCTGCCTCCAGCTGGGCCTGCCATAGGGGCAGTGCAGTGCCAGGCCACCATTCCAGTTAGCACCCAAGCAGTCTCTTGGCTCTGCTGGCTTTTTGGACTGGCAGCATGCTGCCCTCCAGCCGCTGAGGAGGAGGGGAAGCAGGAGCCCTTTCCTACTGAGAAGGGGCTTTGCTATGCTGCAGAGAGTCAGAGATGGCTCTAGAGCCTGACACAGGGTCCGCTCCTGCCCTGCTCAGTCAGGACTCATAAGTCTAACAGCTCTGGCCACTCAGAGCCTAAGCCTCCTCCCCTCTTGGGGTCCCGGGGTTCACCGGCCCCCTGCCAGCTGGGCACAAACCACTAAGATATGGCCAACCTCCTCACCCGATCTCCTGGATCCCCTTGACGGCCGGGCGGCCCTGGAAAACCTTCCTCTCCATCACCCTGGGAACAAAAAGCAAAGCAAGAGCTGATGAGAGGCAAAGGCATGGTCTTGGAGGGACATGGGGGACAGGCACAGCAGATGGCAGGTCTTCCAGATACCCCTGCCTCTCTAGGTTAGCAGCAGTGAGCGAAACCCAGGGAATGGAAGCCTCTACACCCCATGACATGAGCCTCCTCCTCCACCTCAGCCACCCCATCACCAGCTCAGCTAGTGGAAGGGAGCATGGAGTGGGATTCCCCCAGCGGGCAGAGGCCAAAGGCCCTGCTCTCCCACCCCTATGGTGCACCCTCTTACCTTCTCTCCTTTCTGTCCTGGGAGCCCTGCAGGTCCCCGGGGCCCAGGGTCACCAGACAGGCCCTGAAGAATGAGAGAGGAGGAGCAGCTGAGCTGAGCCCAACATGAGCAGCAGAGGGCAGGGGGCCAGACCCAGCCTGGAGTGAGCAAGGGCTTCCTGAGTCCAAGCTCAGCACTGGTGGGAAACTGGCACCACACCGGGGGGGTGGGGTGGTGGTGGCAGGATTTAGGGGAGGACTTATTCAGCCCCTTTCCTAACTTGGACCCAATAAACACCAGGGCCAACCCCCTCTACCTTCCACCCCACTCAATGCTTCACCCTCACCCCATCCATCCCTCTCCATGTACCCCCAGCTGCCCCTCACTCCAGCTCTGCCACAGCCATGTCATGGCAGGGACAAGTACTCACCGGGACACCTGGCTCTCCTCTGGGTGCTTCCCCATCAATCAGCCCTGGGGGGCCCTACAGAGACAGGCACAGGAAGTCCTGCTGTCACTGCATGCCCTGAAGCCCCACAGGAGGCAAAGCCATGAGGGACCCACATGATGGCCATACGTGGCCAAGACTCCCCATTTGCTGCATGTGAGGTGACTGGGCCTAGAGACCAATGCACCCAGACTCCCACAGGCACCCTGCCCTGCAGTGCCTGCCATCCTCCCATCTCTGCTGTGCCCTGGCAGGGGGCATTCTTGCTCCTCCACATCTAGCACCAGGGCCCATCCCAGCTGGGACCACAGGGGATGAGCCAGGGAAAGATGAAAAACTGGGGGTGATAGTGACTCACTCGTTCGCCGCGGTCACCCTTCTCCCCCTGCAAGAGGAAACATGCTCAAGTCAGAAGTGGCTCCCTGCTGGCAGGCTCCCAGCATGGTTACCACCTTCTGATAGGGCGCAACTGTGTCCATCCACCCCTGACTGGGGATATAGAGACGTCCTGAGTATGCCCAGGTGAGTGATGCACCCAGTACACAGCATTGCTGTGTGAGCAGAGGGTGGGGATGCTATGCCTATGTGGGAGACAGGGCACCAGAGGCACAAGGTGAGAGGCTACAGGGGCGTGAGTCCAAGGAGCTGGGGCAGGCTGGACCAACAGACATGGAGAGGGCTGTGAAGGGCACATGAGGGCTGCTTCTCAGGTGCAGGGTGTGGGAATCTGTTCAGGGGGCATCTGTGTGCACACAAAGGAGGGTGCCCTGCTAGCAAAACTGTCCCGCTGCCCAGGATGGGGCCGGGTTGGCTCCTCGCTGGCTGGAGAGGGACGTACCTTGACGAAGTCTCCAGGAGGTCCTGCTGGCCCCGGAAGCCCAGGAGGTCCAGAAGGTCCTGGGTCACCAAATGCTCCTCTGGGGCCAGGGTTTCCGGGAGGCCCAGGGCTTCCCTAGGGAATGGGAGAGGCACCATCAGTGGTCGGCACTGGGGACACCATAGGGTCCGGAGCACAAGAAAAGCAGGTAGGTCTGTATGTACCCAGGCCTAAGGGCATGTGGAGTCAGCGAGTGAGCTGCCTGTGCTGCCCAGCCATCAGCAGTGCCAGAGCCAGAGGGTCAGGAGGCAGAAGACCAACAGAAAGGCCTTGAAGGAGACAGACCTTAGAGTATAGATTATGGTTGTATGGGATGGTCTGGATAGGACTGGTCCTGACTCAGGCAGGGGTTGGACTAAATGACCTTTGGAGGTCCCTTGCAACCTGACTTCTCTAGGATTCTCTATGATACTCTGACCCAGCCAGGGTTGCCCCATGAAAAAGGGAGGGCTCCAGCATGGGGGGGGGAGCACAATGAGGCCCCTTAGACCCCCAGCACTGAGGGGGCTGTGGGATGGCAGGCCCTGGAGGGCAGAGCTCCTGGACCAAACAACGCATCAAGGGCCTCACACCTCATGTAATCGGAAACCCAATCTGAGCTCCCCAAGAAACAGGTCTGAAAGGAAGGGCCCTTGTTGGCAAACACATGGCATAATTAAGTCTCTGGCTCTTTAACTAATTTTGGAGCTACGTGACAGATGTGAAAGATGTTGAGTGCGTGACTGGAGGTAGCAGGGGAGGAGCCAGGCTGCTTCAACGCTGATGCGACCAAAGAAAGCAGAGGGCTGCATTTCAAAGCGAGCAGCAGGCACTTTGTTAAAACCTATAGACACTACAGAACCAGAAAAACATCCTGAGACATGGAAGTCGTGGAAGACGTGAGAGGAGTGAGGGACGTGGTTGTCCAGGCAACCAAAGGGGGACAAAAGGGCATGAATCACCATAAAACCCAGGCAAGGATGAAACTGTGGGGCTGCTCTCACCATCTAAGAGGAGCTGCGGATCCCCCAGAAAAACTTCTGAGCGCCTGGCTGCAGACTCTGTCCTTGGGACTACATAAGACTTATGCAGAGTTTCTGCTCTGTCTTGACTTAGGTTAAGTTGTATGCTGCTTTGTCTTGTATGTCGAGTTTTAGCTTAGGCAAAGTTTTCCTGTGGTTTCTTTGTCTTCTGCTTAGAACTGCAAATTGCAGTGCTCAGTAAACACTCTCGTCAGATAATGGGCTGTTCTTGTCCAAGCTGTTTTATGACTTCAGGGCTCTAATATTAAAGCCCAGTAATACCCTGCCAGCAATGGCATAGGGCCCAGAGGCCCTGGGCTGCACTCAGACACCCCAATGGCTGCTTTAGACTACGTACCGGAGTGCCCGGCTCTCCTTTCCGCCCAGGCAGCCCCCCTCCTCCATCCACGATTACACCAGGCTCCCCCTGCACAAAACAAAAGGGAAAGAGTCATGGTTCCTGCCCTGCATCGCACTCCAGGACCACAGCACCCATGAGATGTAGGACATCCAGTCACATCTGACATCAGTGCTGCAGTAGCATTTAGGACAAGAAGCGAGGGTAGATTCTGCAGGGAGACATGGGATGGCAGCATGGACTGACTAGAGCAGGACACTGGCCAGGGCAGTGGGTGGGGAGATGAACAGCAGCTTGGTAGGGAAGGAGGCAGGTAGCGATCACACATGGGCCAGAGCTTGGTGGGGACACTTCCAGCAGATGTGACCCCCCTAGCACCATGCTACAGCAATGAGGTGAGTAGAGAGCAGACCCCATGGTGGATGGAGCCCCCATGAAAGAAGAGACCTGGGCCCATCCAGTTCATCACTGGAGCTCTGGTGTGACCCCAGCACCCTAGGCCGCCTCCTCCAGGGGGTCAGAACCTTCTAGGAAGTCACGTGGCAGCCCCTGGAAGTGCCCTGGGCTACTCAGGGGGTATAGACTGTGAGCTCCCCACACGCCCATCCCAGCCTGGGCATCAGACAAGACACTGCAAACAGAGCCTGCAGCAAAGCTTTGAGATGTGTGCCTATGAACACTGTGCCTGAGGAGGAAGCCACGATGGCAAGTCCAGCTAGGCAGCCCCAGGCAGAATGGACATCCACCTACCGGCTCGCCTCTCTCTCCCTTGGGCCCAGAAAGCCCCACAGGGCCCCGCGGTCCCTGGAAGGCAAAAGCAACAGTGAGTGAGAGAGCTCTGGAAGAGGGAGCAGGGTTGGGGGATAAAGACAGCTCTACTTACAGGTTCCCCTCTGGAGCCTGGAATACCTTGGCTGCCCTGGAACGGAAACATCAAGCTAACCAGGTGAGCATGTGCCTGTTGCCTAGCGTGGGGGCAGGGGAGATTTAGTGGGGCTGAGGCATGCACATGGTCTGCATGCTACACCTGTGGCTGGGAACACAGAGCACGAGACAGGGTCCTAGAACAAGGGGGAAGGGTATTGTGGACTGAGGGTCTCTGAACTCAGGAGAGACCTCTTTAATTCAAGCCTGGGGGTGCTGCTGCTGTTGTGATTCTAGGTAAGACCCAGGGACAGCTCTGCACTGCCAAGAGCAGTGGGCAATGGGATGTAAGTTGCCCAGGAGATCAGGGACCCAGGAGAGAGCTGTAGAGCCCAGGGGAACAAGGGGCATCACTTACTGGCTGGCCGGGAGAACCAGGGTTGCCAGGGCGACCAGGGCTTCCTGGCACCCCATCTGCTCCTGGGAATCCCTGTGGAGAGAGGGGGAAATCAGCCTGTGGGTTCCCGTCTCCTGCCATTCCCAGGCGCGCTTGCGCTCCAGCGCTGGGAGCATACTCCATGGGTGCTAACTCCATGGGTGCCCCAGGGCTCAAGCACCCACCAAAAAAAATTAGCAGGTGCTCAGCACCCACGGAGCCACCTGAAGATGTTTAAAAAAAAAGCACTTTACCAGAAGAAGCAACGCGATACTTCAACCCAGCTGGGGTTGAGCCGGGGTTGAAGTGTCTGAAGTGTCTGTAAAGATCAGGTTCTTCAGAGGGGCTTTTTGGTGCTTTTAGCTTGAGGTGATTCAATCAGCTATTAGATAAAAGTACCAAAAAAGCCCCATTAAAGTGCTTGATCTTTACACATGCTCCAGAGCTCGGTTTAAGTAATGCGCTGCCTCTTCTGGGCATGCATGGGGCTTGGTGTGGGAACGCACTGAGTTAAAAGTAAAGTGCCAGGTTTGGTTTTGTTTTGTGTTTTGTTTATAGATTTTTTTTGGTGGGGGTTATGTCTGCAAGCACCCACTGGCAAAAAACGAAGTTAGCACCTATGACCAGGAGACCTTTGCTTCCCAGCCAGTCCAGCCATGTGGGGGCAGCCCCAGGGACTGGCTTGTGCTTGTTTTGAGGGGCCTCTGCAATTGGGATGTGACTGAAGCTTTGGAGGGTGGGGGAGCACAGCAGGGCTTGCTTTGCACTCCCCAGACGCTCCCCAGGGCAGGACCCCTCCAGGGTTGAGAAACACACTGAGAAAGTATAAAGGAGAAGAGCCCTGTCTCTGTGTTTCTCAGGCCACCACTGCCCATCTCCCAGTGCCCCACAGTGCCACATGGAGGGATCTCAGGGGCCATGCACTGGGAACACACACATGGGTCTGGAGAGGGGACCCCAAGGTCCCACGCTTACAGACAGCAAGTAGCCTCGAGAGCAGGGCAGAGGATGCCTTGTCTTGAGCTGGCCTCCTCCCTGACCTTGGAGCTCCTATGAGCCTGGTGAGCAGCTCCAGCAATTACTTACCCTCTCCCCCTTCTTGCCTGGTTGCTCGATCACCTGGCCGGGGGCACCCCGTGGTCCTGCAGGCCCCTGAGGGCCTGGCAGCCCATTGCGCCCCTAAAGGAAGGAAGGAAGAAACCACCAAGTGAAATGATGTGGGGAAAGTTGGGGAGGATTTCTCTCTAGGTCCATTGCCCCACAGAACCCTCTGCCCATCTCCTGTACCTCCCTAGTATGCATCCAACAAACAGGAGCAGGACCCCAAGGGCAGATCCCAGCACACATGGTGAGGTCACCTGGGCAGGGCCCTGCCACCTTCCCCTGTCTGGACATCAGGGCAACATGGAAGCCCCAAGAAACCGCGGGCTCTCCCTCACCAGCCCTCATGGAGCAGAGCCCCTGGAGCTATTGGCAGTGCCTTGCGATACCCCAGCTTGCTCCCAGGCATGCCTGGCCTTTTCTGGTCATAGCAGGATAGTAACAACCCCCACAACTCTGGGGTCAACAGACAGAGGGATGGGGAGAAGGAGGAAAGGGTTACCGGTTCTCCAGGGGGGCCAGGCAGCCCCATGTGTCCTTTCGGTCCCTGCACAGAAGCAAAGCCAGGAGTTACCGGCAGCTAAGACATGGGTCAGAGCCTGTGAGTCCATCAGCACCAGCCGCCAGACTGAGCAGCCTCCCAACCCGCCCTCTTGGTGCCCCCTTCCAGCAACACCCCTGTGACACTCACCATGTTGCCGGGCTCCCCCTTCTCACCCTGCAGCACAACAAAGACACCAGAATCAGGAGCAGCACAGTGACCCCATGGCACGTCCACACCCTAGCCCCCACTGAGCCTGGGGCAGGGAGGCCATGCCTGCCACCCCCACACACCCCTTCCTGCCATCGGAGCTGCAGCTTTGTGCTCTCAGCCCAACCAACTCCCCTGGTCCCTCTGGTTGGCCCACAAGAAGGGCAGGGGGAAGCACCCTCCATGGGCATTCACTCACATTCACAAGGCCACCCCCACATCCCCTCCACCCCGTTCCTCCCCAGGGACTGCAGGTCCCTCTGGCTGCCCCAATGCAGAGCATGGACAGAGCCCCCATCTCTGCAGCCCCGTCATGCATCCAGCCTTGGCCCCTGCAACCTCCTCTGCTGCTCCTCACTTCAGGCCTGCACTGAGCCAGGAACCCAGAATAGCCCCATGCTGACCTCCCGCAGCTCCAGGGAGCTCCCCTGCCCCATAGGCACCAGCCCATCCCCTCACACCCAGCAGAGACCCCCAGCTCTCAGACACACCAGCCTAACCCCAGCTCCAGGAAGGGACCAGGCCCTCCCCACTTCCCATTGCTGACTGAGCGCCCTGTCCACCCCCTCCCAGGGAAGCAGCTACAGCGCGATGTGGCACAAAACTCACCTTGGGACACTGTGTCACGCAGGGCTGTGGCCTTGGCTGTGGAGAGAGGGGGCAAGTTCTGCATTAGACAGCTGAGCCAGATCCAAGGCCCATGAAGCCTGGAAGAGGGAGCTGACAGGAGATGCCTATAGCCAAGTCCAAAAAGCATTCCCCATATAGAGATCGACCCCCCAAGCCAGCCCAGTTCCCACCTGCCACTGGGCCAGCACCAGAGCCCAGTGCCCACTCAAGGGGACTGCAGGAACCCCTTGAAGAAGTCAGGCCCCGCCTGTCCCTCTGCTGGCTGCTCCTACCCCCGGGATGTCAATTATCCGGCAGAGGGAGCTGGCAAGCTCATCCTCCAGCCCCAGTGAGGCTGCCCGTGAGTCTGCAGCAGAGAGGACATAGCGGGGGTTGTCATCTGTGACGATGCGGCGCAGCTGCTCCCGGTCTGCACCTTCCATGCCCACTGCCAGCACCTGGATCCCTGCCCAGGAGAAAGAGAAAGTGGCCTCCATGGGGAACAGCCCAGCAGCAACCACCCCTGGTCCCAAGAGCTGGTGAACAAAGGGAGATGGGGAACCAACTCCAGTGCCACAGACTGCCTTGAACAGGGGTCTTGGCCAGTCCCACTGCTGAGAGGAGGCGACAGGATGCCCTTCTCCCTGCCCACCCCTCCCATCCTCAGCAATGCCTCAGTCCTACCCCACATCCCCATGGCCCAGCCACTCCACGTGCCCTGCTCTCACCTGCAGCCTTGGCTTCCCTGGCTGGCCCAATGACGTCATCACCTGACGGGCTGTCGGCCAGCACCACCAGCACTGCCGGCACGTCCAGTCGGCGCCCCGCGCTGGGGCTCAGCATGTATGACCTGGCAAAGTTGATGGCTGCGCCTGGAGAGTGGGAGGAGAAGTCACCCAGGGGCCTGAAGCCTCCCTAACCTGTGCACTATCTGTCCCTCCAACCCCACCCACCCCAGGACAGCCAGTCAGCCCCTGGCCGGTGGAAAGGGGCTGCAGCAGCCTTGGGAAGCAGAGTCCCACGCCTCCCTGCTTCAGCCTCAGAGTGCAGAGCCAGAACAGCTCCCCCACACCAGGTCCTGCCCACCTCCCCTCAGCACCAGACTCAGCACCAAGATGCTGAATCCTCAGCATCTTGGGGGCCAGGTGGCAGGCAATGCACACTTCATGGGCACCAGGGGCAGCCAGATGCTCACAGCTGCCACTCCCAAGCCCCTATGGACACTGTGGGCTGTGCTAAGAGGAGGTGAGGCTGGGCTGCCACGCAGTGCCCCTCACCCATTGCGTTGCCACTGGGCTCTTCATAGGGCAGGCTTTGGATCTGCTCC